CTGCCTGCTCCACATACGAAGTACAGCAGTGGTGTCAGCAGCTCCAGCATAGCTGATGGGCAACAGCAGCCACTGGAGTCCTGCCTCAGTTTCATTTATTTATTTATTTAACAAGGTTTTTTCTTTCTTTCTTTCTTTTTTAACGTTTACTTATTTTTGAGAGAGAAAGAGTGCGAGTGGGAGAGGGGCAGAGAGAGGGAGACACAGAATCCGAAGCAGGCTCCAGGCTCTGAGCTGTCAGCACAGAGCCCGACACGGGGCTCGAACTCACAAACTGTGAGATCGTGACCTGAGCTGAAGTTGGACGCGTAACTGACTGAGCCACCCAGGCGCCCAAGCAGCGTTATTTTTAAAAGCTTTTTTTAAAAGATGACTTTCAAATTTTAGATTGAATTTCCTTAAGGAAAAATTTGATTTTAATATATCTTTATTTTATTATTTTTGAGAGAGAGAGAGAGATGGACAGAGTGTGAGTGGGGGAGGGGCAGAGAGTGAGAGGGAGACACAGAATCAGAAACAGGCTCCATGTGCCAAGTTGTCAGCACAGAGCCCGATGCAGGGCTCGAACCCACAAACTGTGAGATAATGACCTGAGCCGAAGTCAGACACTTAACTGACTGAGCCACCCAGGTGCCCCAGAAAAATTTGATTTTTTAATGAATATTTTAAGTGTGTATCACAAAAGCACTATTTATAATAACTGTCATTAATGTAGTTTACTATACACCAAGTGGAGTTCTAAGTATTTTGCGCATTATATATTCATTTGATCTTTCCAACAATCCTGTGAGGTGGTTACTACTATTGTCTCCATTTTAAGATGAGGAAACTGAGTCACAGAGAATGTAATTGACTTACCCCAAGGGTCACAGAGACAGAAAGCAATGGTGCCAACATCCAAATCCAGGGGTCTGGTTTCAGAGTCTGTGCTCTTAACTGCTGGCTATGCTCAGAAGAGCCTTCACACACTTAGGAAAGAGCCCCTTCTAAAAATTCACTGTCTTGTGCTCTGAGAGCTTGACGTTGTCTCCTTGTTAGAAATCTCCATGGTTAAAGTTGTTAACCTTAAAAATAAAACTGTCAGTTACTTTACCAGGAGAGATGGGTTTATTTGGAGATAGCAAAGAATTGCAATTCAGAATAAGCAAGCTTCAGCAAACCATAGGCAAGTCTGAGAACAAAGGAGAAGAATGCTCTTTTATAGAAGAAAGGGGGGGATTGGGAGGAGCCATTATAAACAAAAATTCATTGGAGTAACCTGGGAGTTTGAAGTGTAGAGGCCATCACTAGCTGAGTAATGACAGTCTCTCATTGGCTGGGCTGTTGCCAGGCAAGGAGAAAACCTTTCTTCCTCCAGCTTGGGTAGTAAAGTATAGGGTTCTTCCTGTCTGGAATGCAAGGTAGTGCCTTCCTGTTGGTTCTGCAATTGACTAGGAGTGATGGGGTGAGAGCTCCCCTTTCTGGCCTCCCAACTCCATTTAAGAAAAATTTTTAAATGTTTTTTTACTTTTGAGAGAGACACACAGAGCATGAGTGGAGGAGGATCAGAGAAAGGAGACACGGAATCTGAAGCAGGCTCCAGGCTGCTGTCAGCTCTGGGCTGTCAGCACAGAGTCCAGACTCAGGGCTCGAACCCATGAGTGACGAGATCATGACCTAAGCCGAAGTCTGAAGCTTAACTGACTGAGCCACCCAGGAGCACTCCCCAACTCCATTTCAAATGAGGTTTCCTTTTACTAGTTTTCAATTGTTTGAATTTAGCTATAGCTCTTTGCTAGAACAACATCTCTTAATAAGTGGAATTTGTTAAAACTGGTTCCATATTGTTTCTGTTTAAATGTCCAATGTCAAGGTGACAAGAATTATTAATACCTTGGGTCGCTGTTTCAGTGAAAAGTACACTTTGTGAGGTTTAAAAATATACATCTTTTTGGGGAGAAGTACAGGGAGACATTATATTTCTCTGAAATGTTTCAATTTATGTAAGTAGAACATAATTTTTACTTCTGTGATTAAAAAATCATAAAATATGCCCTTATTTAATCAATCAAAAAATGCCTTCTGTGGGGGTACCTGGGTGGCTCAGTCCATTTAGCATCCAACTCTTGATTTTGGATCAAGTCATGATCTCAGGGTTATGAGATTGAGCCCCATGTCAGGCTGTGCTCTGGGCATGGAAACCTGGTTAAGATTCTCTCTCTCTCTCTCTCTCTCTCTCTCTCTCTCTCTCTCCCCCCCCTCCTCACCTCACACCACCCCTCCCACTGTGCATGCATGTGCTCTCTCTTAAAAAAAAAAAAGACGCCTTCTGTGTTAGATAGCCTCTTCGTCCTAGTAATTACAGCCTTGTATAATATGCTCTCTTTGAGTAACTTGCTTTTAACCAATAGAATATGGCAACATTGAGGGGTTGTTCTTTCTGTGAGTAGGTTGCAGAAAATCTGTCTTGCTAGTATCCTATCACTTTCTTGGCTGCTGTCCTTTGATGAAGTGAGTTGTCATGTTGGGAGAACCCACATGGCAAGGAACTGAAAGTGACCTCCAGCCAATGGCCCTTGAGGAACTGAATGTTCCCAACAAATAAGACCACAGACCCTGGACTAACACCTTGCTTACAGCCTTGTGAGAGATTCCTGACCTACAGAAATCATGAGATAACAAATGAGTATTGTTTTAAGTTCCTAAGTTTGAGGGTAATTGGTCATGCAGCAATAGATAACCTTTCTTTATACAAATAATGAATTTTTGATAAACTAATTAATAAGTCATCATACAAACCAATGTAAAATAAGTGTAGTCTAGATTGGCACAGCAAATATCTGAAGTCATATACATGTGTTATAACCACATATGTGTCAGAACCAGCTGAGGAGCCTAACTCAGTGTTTTGCAGTCAGGGCACCCTTCAGGGAAGTGGTGGCTCTAGGGCAGGGTTGAATAGGAGTGTGTGGGGGGGAGCATATGTATCCCTCACAATCGATGCCTACCCACCCCCCATCTTCAGGCTCAAAGGTGCCTCAGGATGAGAACAATCCCATACGGGGCTCTCAGGCCAAGTCTCCCCTGTCAGACTGAGAGGCCCTTGAGGAGAAATCTCTTGCCAGCCCCATCAGCCACAGCAGGCTGAATACCTCCTCCCCAGTGACTTCCCCCACATCTGTCCCCCAGCTTCCAGTCCAAAAGGGCACCTCAGACGCCATGGAAAAGAGGCCACCAGGCAATAGGTAGAATAGAAACACAAACTCAAGAAATGCATTTCTCTGCCCCAGTTTATTCACCACGGCTTGGTCCAGAAGCCAGGTTCATAGTCAACATGCAAGGGCTAGACACAAAAGCCCCCAGGACCATTGCTTCAGCCTCACTCCCTATACCTTTCACCCACCCACCCATCAGGGATAGAATTCTTTACAGATAGAGCACCCCCATTTTGCAGATAAGGAGAGTAAGCGTCATGCCACTGCTCACCCATCAGGATCTTGCATCCTCATGGCTCCAGAGGCAAAGCAGAGAGCTTGGCTACCTTAGTCCTTGGTTCTCCCCAAAATTCACCCACTCTCCTTTTCACAGAGCCTCTGCTCTAGCCTGTCAACCCCCATTTAAAGGGCCATGCAGTGATGGAAGGGGTTATGACCCAACATGCTAAGAGCTTCCAGAGGCTGGGCTGAGCTGACACTCACTGTCCCTCACCCCCCCCCCCCCCCCCCCCCCGCCAAAGGTTAATGTGGCTCCTCTGGGCCCAGACAGCCTGATTTCAGAAAAAACAGACCAACCTAATTTGACGTCCAGTGTTGCTAAAGCCAGAAAGGCACAGCGAGTAGAGGCACAGAGAGGAAACAGATTTTTTTTTTTTCCAACAGCCTTGGAATACCATGCCGATTCCTTGCAAGCTTATAAGCACACATTCGCTTTCATCAGAAGCTGAAATCAATATGGTCTGCAACAGCTCCTTCGCTGTGGAGAAGGGTGGTTTGTTTCAAACTGATATAACTGATATTTTAGAATTCCCACTCTCCTATTCTTCACAGGGTTCTGCCGTTATCATCTCCCTTTATCATCTCCCTTATCATCTCCCCCGGCCCCATCTCCCATGTGCCCCAGGGCAGAGTTCAAGAGGGACAGTTCTTTATCTTCTCTGATCCCATCCCCCATCCCTGCCACGTGTCAATCACCACCCCCAGCTTCCCTCCCTCATACTAATTTTCTACCAATTGCTCAAAAAGCCATGGCAGGCCAGAGCAGCCACCACACTTCCTACAGCAAATCCACCATCAGGGACAACAGCTTCAGCAGAGCAAAGTCTGGGAGGAGTGATGGGGAAGGAATAGGAGAGGTGGCCTGGGAAATCCCAGGAGAGTGGATCAGCACAACCCGCAGATAAATGACGCTAGCCCTCTCTCCAGGGAACAACTGGACCCTGTGGAGAAAAAAAGGCTAGGATTGACAATGGGTAACACAGAGTGTGGATGCCCGACATACGCAACTGAATATGTATTTGCACACACCTGCTAGTGAGTCAGCCTGCAAATCCATGCTCCTAATACACCCTTCCCATGCCTGCACTTGCACACAAAGGCCTGCACACACAAGGGCTCACTCACAGACACCCACCACAAGCCTGCACACTCAAACTCATTCATATGCACACACACACACCTTTTGCATATATATCCTCACTCGTGCACATATATACACACTGTTGGACATCTGGTTCATGCATACATATACAAACATACTCCCTCTTACATACATGCTACACACACACATATGTACACACCCACACACAGACCTGCACATCAGTTAGCTCATGTGTACGCATGGCACACACAAGCTGATGCACAGGTGCTGATTCGCACACGCCTGGACCTGCCCACATGATAGCACGTACATACTCACGCTTATCTGCACTCATACCAGCAATAATCATGTACTTACTTGTGTGCAACCACACACATGCCTACAAATATATACATGTACCCCTGCACCCCTGTGGAGGCACACCCTTAGCCCTGATCCTGGGGCCTGGATGGGACCGCCCTCTGTTGGAGACAACGGATAAGCTCCTTTCGGTTGTCTAGGATGGTGTCGAAGCTCTCCTGCAGACGGGTCTGCTGGTCAACCAACTGGTGCTGCAGGCCCCGGATCCACTGCAGCAGGGCCAGGCGACGGTACATCACCAAGTGCACATGATGCTTCTCCTTTTCCTGCTCTTTGTAGCGCTCCTGAGCCTGCAGCTGCTGCACAGCCTGGGCCACTGAGGGCAGAAGGGGATCTGGAGGGCCTGGGCCTCGAGGGGTCCCACAGACAGGCTCAGGGCTGCTGCTGGGGCTGTCGGTGCTCAGGGAACTGCTGGCATAGCCGTTGTCCTCCAGAGGGGAGCAGACTGTGCTGGCGCCGCTCATCTTCTCCAGCTCAGCTCTGGCGATTTCTGCCCCCTCTGGTGGGCTGCGGACCTCCCCATCAGGGAGTCCAGGGGCCTGGAAGGCCTGGTTGTCAGAGGACAACTCAGAGGAGCCTCTCATCAGGCTGGGCTCCACCTGGCCTGGCATCCCATGCCAATTCTCATTGGCATCTTTGGCACTCGCCATGAAGTTGGAGTTGCTGTCTGGTTGGAGCTCAGGCTGACATACTCCAGGCGGGCCCCCCAGGAACTGGCCCCCCTCAGCTACCCCTGGCTGGATGGCAAACATCTGGTCTGCAAAGGAGAAGCAGAAGAATGAGTCAAAGCAGGACAGGGTGGGGTGCCTGAAGTCGTGGCAACCTAGCTGTGGGGGCAAGGCAGTGTGGAGGAGCTGGATGCTCCTTCTCAGTCCCTTTCCCTCTGGTAACACCTCCCTTTGTGGTATTCCTACTCCTTCTCTGTTGATTCGCAGTCTCCTGCATAGGATTTTCCCTCAGCCCTCCGAGGCAGGCTGTCTCCTTATTCTGTGCACGTCTTCCCAGATGAACTAATCTTCTGCTATAGCTTCAAGAACCATCAGGTGTTGGTGACTCTCAGATGTGTCTCCAGCCCAGATCCGACTGCTATCCAACTCTGCAACCATCCATAGGCCCCCCAAATTCTACATGTCCCAACCAGCTCTCCCTCTCCAGTGTCCTCAGAAAAATGGCCCACCCTGCATTCAGTCACTCCAGCCAGAAACCTGAGAGTATCCTGGTCTCCTCACTCTGCTTCCTTCCCCCATCTTATTGACCACAAAACGCTGACAATTCTTCCTCTTTTTTTTTAATTTTTAATTTTTAACGTTTATTTATTTTTGAGACAGAGAGAGACACAGCATGAATGGGGGAGGGTCAGAGAGAGAGGGAGAATCTGAAGGGAGAGACAGAATCTGAAACAGGCTCTGGGCTCTGAACTGTCAGCACAGAGCCCGACGCAGGGCTCGAACTCACGAACTGCGAGATCATGACCTGAGCCGAAGTCGGACGCTTAAGCGACTGAGTCACCCAGGCGCCCCCAATTCTTCCTCTTAAAAACCTGTCATATACGTCAACCCTCACTTGTACTTGGTTCAGGCCATTTCTTACCGGGATTACTGACTGACTGCTGCAGCCTTTTCTGACCTCTGTGCCTCCAGTTAAAAATGTAAACTTGAGGGGCACCTTGGTGGCTCAGTCGGTTGAGAATCCGACTTCAGTTCAGGTCATGATCTTGCAGTTTGTGGGCCTAAGCCCCACGTCGGGCTCTGTGCTGACAGCTCAGAGCCTGGAGCCTGCTTTGGATTCTGGGTCTCCCTCTCTCTCTGCCCCTCCCCAACTCACGTTCTGTCTATCTGTCTCTCTCTCAAAAATAAACCTTAAAAAAAAATTTTTTTAAATGTAAACTTGATTGGTCATGGCTCTGAGGCCCTCTAAACTGCTAACCCTCAACATGGCCTACAAGGCTGTGCTTCAGCTGACCCCTGCTCCCCATTTCAGCCTTGCCTCTTGCCACTCTGCCCCTCTCAGAATCCCAAATTTCTCAGAGATCTCAGAATGTGTCATTATTCTGTGTCAATAATGTGTCATTATTCACACAATTCCCTTCGGTCCTAATGCCTTCCCTTCCCTCCTCATGACCCTCCCTTCTCCACCCAGCAAACTCCTTTTTGTACTTCAAAACGCAGATGTCTGATCCCCACCTCTCTGAAACTTCTGAGTTCTTCCCACAGCCCCAGCACACATAAATAAGCACAGTTAACTATGCCTTCCTATGGGTCCCCCACTGCACTGAGTGCTCACTGTTTTTGTTCATATCTGTTTCTTCCACACACCAGTTGCGCATAGTTGATGGCCAGTAACTGTGCATTTAGTTGTTTTTGGTTTTGTTTGAGACTATCTTCTGTAGCAGCTTATACATTGGCTTCCTGACTAGATACTGTGCTCCTCTATATATCCTCTGTCATATTCCTGCACTAAGCAGGTGTCAGTACATAGTTGCTGTGATAGTGAATGGGGGAGAGGGGCTGCAGGGGGCAATCTAGCTGCTCATAAAGAAAAGCCAAGGTAGCGAGGCTACTGCTCAGGCGGAGGATAGAAGATATGGCTCCGGTCCCTTACCTCCTGCGTAGTAGTAACCTCAGCCCATACGTCCCCATCCCCATTGACAAGCCTCTCTTCCTGACCTTGCCCTCTTCCTCTGCCAGGTTTACTATCTTGTGCCCCTCCTAGCTTGCTCCATCCCAGGGGAGCCCCAGAGGGAGGCGTATCCTCTCCCACGTCTTTCCTCCCTAATAACCATTTCTCTACCAAAATGGGGTTTGAATTAACAGAGGTTTCTACTGACTACATATTGCAAAGTTAGAAAAATGGGGGAGTCAGTAGGTGAGGATAGTGTAAGTATAGCAGGGAATTGAGAGGTCTTTATAGGTGGTAGTGGGCAAAAGTCACCGAGGGGTGTAGCGGCGGTCGCTGGTGACCACATACTTTCCATCGCTAAGCAGTCTTGGGGAGCCTTCCAGGCCCAAGTTGTTTGTTTTTCTTTCTTTCTTTCTTAAACTTGGGAGGCGACATGACTAGATCGGCTTAGGTGTTAAAACTCTGGGGTTTCTCAGAATGGTAAAACTATAGGAACCCAGAACACTTACCTAGAGATCAAACTGTCAAGCTAATCACCAGTCGGCGGGGTGTATAAGGCGGCGGGGAGGTAAAGTGGCTCTGTGGGGTTGGGGAGGCCTCACTTCCTGCAATAACCCTGCGGAAGGGACCCCCCCCTGCCTCGCCTCCAGCAGACAGAGGATGAACCATGCTTCCTAAGCTCCCCACCGGGGGCAGCGGCCAGGCGATCCTGTTGCCCCCCACCCCGTCCCGGGGGGCTGGAGCCCCAACTTCTGCCAGACCTCCCCTGCCAGACTCACTGCCTGGACGCCCGCCCCAGCACTGGCTGGCTCTCTCCCGCAGGCCCCGCGGCAGGAGGGCACTCGTCTCTGGAGGCTGGAAGGAGAGAGATATCTCGAGCACTGGCGGGGGCAGCCACGCACGCGCGGGCCAGGCGTGGGGTGCAGACTCCCCACGGCCCGACACCAGCCCCAGGCCCAGACACAGGAGTCGGGCGGCGTCAGCACAGCAGCAGACGAGGGCGGGGCGGCCGGAGGAGCCCCACGATGAGCCGGTTCGGGGTTCCGCCGAGCGAAAGTAGTCCCGCCAGAGCGCCGGAACCAACTCCCCGCCTCCTCCTGCAGCCGTGACAGGCTGCTGCTGGGTCGGGTTGCCCCGCTCTTCCCTCCCGTGGATCCTCGGATCGCTTTCTCGTCACTGCGGAAGCCACGGTGACATTTTTCAAATGAAAATCTAATCATGTCACCATCTCCTGCTGTGTTAAGCCTTTCAAATATGGCTTCCCTCTTGCAGGGAGTAAATCCTTGAGAGCAGCAGCTCTGCAGGGGTTCTGGGCATCTTGTCCTGTCTACCTCAGCTTCATCCTTTGCCCTCTATCTCTGCAACTGGGCACTCACAGTTACCTTACCTTTGAACTTTTTTGCACACACAGTTTCCCTCTACCTAAATTCTCTTCCCTTTCTCAACATGTCCGGCTCTCTTCTCAGATAAACCTCCCTCTCCTGACCTCCTAGGCAGATTAGTTCCCTTTTTATATTTCTCAAGGGCGCACCCATGGTTCATCAGAGCATCTATCACAATTTGAAATGATATATTCATTTTGTGCTTGTTTCATTAGGTCATAATTTATTTGTTTTGAGAGGACAAGGAGGAAGGCCAGAGGGGAGACAGGAGAGAATCCCAAGCAGGCTCTCGCTCTGTCAATGAAGAGCCGATGCAGACTTGTTCTCCTGGCTCCGCGAGATCATGACATGAGCCAAAATCAAGTAGGGATGAGCTGAGCCATGAGCACTACATGAAGCGCTATGTTTGTTTGTTTATTTATTTATTAGTTATTTATTTATTTAATAAAGGCTGCCCTTCCTAATCCAAAGGCTGCAGCAATTTTTTTAATTTTTTTTTAACGTTTATTTATTATTTTTCAGAAAGAGAGGAGGCAGAGCATGAATGGGGGAGGAGTCAGAGAGAGGGAGAACACAGGAATCAAAACAGGCTCCCAAGGGGAGCTCTGAGCTGTCAGCACAAACCCGGCGATGAGGAGCTTGAACTGCTCACTGACAGATCATGACCTGAGCCGAAGTCGGCCGCTTAACCAGCCACCCAGGCGCCCCTATTTTATAAAGACTGAATTGGCAAGGACACAGAAATCACGAGAGATGGCCAGTAGCAGCCCAAATAGGCCAGCCCTGGGTAGATATCCTGGCAGGCAGACAGATGTCAGAGCCAAGAGAGACTAGCAATGAGTAACCAGTGCTAGGTGCTAAAGGGCCTAGAGTGTCAGACAAGGAGACAAGGGAGATGAGAGGTATTTCTACCCCAGGAAATAGGACAGGCATAAGAGCTGCTTCCTCTATAGGTGGATAATTTCTCAGTGTCAGTACTTCCAGGAAGAAAGAGGTGGGTGGGATCAAGGTGTTTCAGCCTCAAAGACATTATTCCTTCCTATCCATTCACTCACATTCAGTACAGAGTGCTCACTTTGGGTCAGGTGCTGTGTTGGGGATTCAGAGCAGGATCAGAGCTGGTGGTGACCTTGTGCAACTCCCTGTTTAGAAAGGGAAATAGAAAAGAGTGGGCTATACAATGTACAGGTCCTACAACAGAGTTACAAGGAAAAAGCAATGAGTACAAAAGAGGGTAAGGAAAGCCTTCACAGAGGGGGCTTTAAAGGATGAATGGAAGCTCACCCAGAGAAAGCAGGAGAAAGCAGAGGAGACTGTATGTGGTGTGTATGTTCAGAGTGTGGCCAGGGTGACTGGAGCTTGAGGGGAAATGGAGGTAAGAGATGAGGCTAGAGGATAAAGTTGGCCCAGTTGTGAAAGGCTTTGACCATCATTCCAAGGAGCTTGAGCTTCACCCTGTGGGCAGCAGGGAAATAAGCGAGCAAGCCCCCAAAACTTCCATGTCAGAACAAAGCACAGGCATCTAGTCCTGGAGGACAAGCTATATTGCCACCTGCTTTCTTCTCCTTCCCTGAGCTCAGATCATCTGTCAACTTCTCCACAAGGCTTTGGAAACTTAGGCAAATCGAAACATTTTCAACTTCCCAGATTAAATAAAGATAATATGCCTTGAACATTGTAATTGTGAACACTGGACTCCCAGGGCTAAGCACAGCCCTGGAGGACCTTTGATGTACCAGAGAATCCTTAAG